CCAATATACAACTTGCAACAATTAAAATGCTACAACTTTAAACTTGGCTCTATAGTTAAAGAAAAAGGTTAATTTTTATTAATTAACTCATAGATTTAGGGCATTTGACTTTTTTGGTATAATTTATCAAATTGGGCAAAATTCCACACCATGGATCACACTTAGAAATGGGTGTAGAGGCTGGTTTTCTTTGATATGCTGGTTCTTCGCTTTGTCATATATATCGTAATGAAGAAAAAGAAGTAACATTAATTAACTTTAAATTTATCAGAACATCACAATATGTGTGTTGAACCAACACACAGTCATTTACTGGGTCTGTCTCCACTCGCAAGTAGTTTTTCTTAGTTAGTTTGTACTGAGAAAGTTGTGAGACTGTTTTGTCTATTACGATGGCTGCAATGTGACTTGTTCGTTCTTGTATGTCTCTACATAGGAGTCCAATGGCTGTTTTTGTGTCAATTATGGTTGGCGTTATGCTACGTTCTGTTTTGGTGGATTTTATGTTGTGTTTCAGTCCTTTTTGTAATAGTTTGTTTCATTGGTTTTAAATTTTGTTTGTTTGAGGTTTATGAGTGTTGTTCGTTGTTGGTTGGGGGTTGAGGGTGTTTGTGTTTACCGAGGTTTGCTAGTTTCTTTTTTAATTTTGTGTATTTTTATTGAGACAGTGTTTTTGTGTTGTCCTTGGTGGTTTTATGAAGTCTGTTAGTGATTCTGGTAGGAGTAGGTCTAGGAGTTCTTTCTTGAGGCTGACTTTTTTGTTGCATAGGGAATGTGTTTCTGTTTTTATCCAAGTTTTTTGTGATTTTTTGATGGTAGTCATTGCTGTGTGTTAGTTTTTAGTTTACGTTTAGTGTAAGTCAAGGTTATGTTGTTAGTGAGGCATTGTTTGTTAAACCAAATGTTAGCAATGATGTGTAGTTTGTGAGTTTTGTGTATGTACATCAATTAAAATAAATATGGAATAAGTAAATGAGTACGTGTATAGAAATTACACTTAATAAATAAGTAGATAAATTGGTAAATATATAAATATATTTGTCTATGAAGAAATAAATTGTTTGTGAATTTAAAAAAAAAAAATGTATATTAAGATTATTTATCACAGAATTGCTTTTATCCGTTTATGCTTCCTTTGAATCAGGGTGTTGTACTTCCCTAAAGATGTGCAGAAGAAATTTTTGCTTGTGACAAGCGTACAATAAAATTTTTTGGTGTTGGTTGTCGCAGAGTGGCAGGTCAAAGAAATTTCGGACTTTTTATACTAATAAAGATAAATGTTTATAACCTGTCTGTCTGTGAGATGTTGCCACTAGCCTTAAAAATTTGTTCTGTATTCTTTGAGTTTTTGGCATATTTTATTTGCAAGTTGGACGCCATAAAGTACATGCATATAATAGCATGGATTTGACAACCAGATTATCAATAAGGTGCTTGTTGACTTATCTGTCTAGATTTGGATTCTACTACACGCCTATTCGTTCTTAGTTATTTTTTTCCTTTTTATTCATTTGTTTAATGATGAACATGTCAAGATGAAACTGCCACAATACGATAAGCTTTTGGAGCTCAGCTGTCATTGGTTTTGAGTCTACCTCATATCTCAATGAATCTAGAATAGAAACTTTAATGGAATATTAGCCAGTGAAATATTAGAAGAAAAACTGTATGAAATAACCAAACTTCTGTCGACTTTTTTTTTTTTTTTGGATACCAGGTACTGCACTGCAGCTGAGCTGCACAGCTTATTGTACTTTATCCCTGGCTCCATATTTGGGGGGGGGGGGAGGCCTCGCAACACAAATGTGAACTTAAGCCCCCGTTGTGCCGGTGTTCTTCCATCAAAGAAACTCATTTTTGAAGGGGTTGGGACCAAATTCAGGTTCACTGAGATCCGATCCCGTCCCATCCATTGATGAGTGCCGTGTCAATTTTCTCTCAATTGTGGCCACCGGTCCCCTTAGGCGTCAGAAAAAGTCCAGAGGCGACGGTGGCCGAGAGTCTGACGCCTTAACCACTCGTGTACCGCAGCCCCCGACTATTCTTAGAAACAATAATTGGAAATTCTAATTAACAATGGTTTTAAACTGATTAATTACAAGTTAAATCAAATAAGTAAGTAAAATAATTCCTGTCATAAAGGAGTTTTAATGTCCAATTATGTCATGTGCCGCAGTAAAGGGATTGGAACCACTTTAAAATACTTTCTCCACATTATTCACAATTAAAGTTTTTTAAAAAAATTGGGATATGCACCCAAAGACCGGAGACTTGTATTTTGTTGTTTATTTAATATAATATTTATTTCTATTGTTATATTAATTACAACATATTTATTTTTATGTAAACCTAATTAAACACAATCAGAAATTCATGAGTTTTAATAAAAATTATTAAATTACAATGGTTTGAAAGAAAATTCACCAAACACTGGAAAATCCCATTTTTCAACAAGAGCGATTTGAAGTTAATCAACTTTTGTTGGAGGCAGCGAACGATGTCTGACCCGTCTCTTCATCTTCTCCCATAAGTATTCTATAGTGCTCAAGTTTCTGGCTAATTCATTGTGGTAATCCCTACATCCTCTCAGTAAAAGGTGACAACTCGAGCTTCATGCAGCCGAGCATTATCAAGCATTAACACAAAGTTGTCCCCAATAAATGTGCAGTGCAGTCAAAGATGCATTCTGTATGATAAATCAGTTCGGTACGGGCATGGACATTGATTTCACCCCATACCATAACTGTCTAATTTGACATCTTGAAAAAGCTGTGACTTATGGTAAAATGTTTTCCATATCTTTCCATGTCACAAGGTAAAGGTAAACAATGTTGTGGTTATGTTTTAAGTCAATTATTAACCTGTATACCTAGTTTAAAAAAAACAAATGGATAAATACAAGTGTCCGGTTTTTGGTCTTTAAGTGAAGACGAACAATATCAAAGTGCAAGATTCGGTTGAGAGGTGTCTTAGCTGCTCATTATGTTGGCTCTACATTTTTCTTACTTGGGTGTTTTTTATTTTGAACAAACTTAGCAATTTCAGCTTAGACAGTAGGGATTCTAAGAAGCATAGTGTGTGTTGTTTTTGATACTACTTTGAACATGGCTTGTCGACTTTTATTGTGGAATATTTTAAAATTTTCAATGTGTTTGGTTGGCATCCCCCCCCCTTATATGCAGTAAGTCCAGACAGGTTTTAATATCTGGTTAAGGTCAGTAGTTCAGAGATCAGTTTTGGGACAGTTGACAATCTCTAGATATGTATTATTAAAAAATAAAATAAAATGGTTTTAATACAGTGAGTATCACTTTAAGACTTGAAAAGGACAGCTATGCTCACAAACTGGTTTTGCAGTGATGCCGGATTTCGATGTGTAATTGCCCATCATCAGACTGAAGTTATCTACAAGATTGGTGTAGATAACTCATACCTTCCAGATAAAACTAGCATATTCTGATGATAAGGATTACAGATTAAAATCCAAATCTGCTGAAAAACCAGTTTGTGAATAGCAGCACCATCTTTTTCAATTCTCGTTGGGAATTCATTCTTACAAGAATACTGTATTTTATTTGGTACGTTCCCTGTGCTTGTTCTATTTTATCTTGCTGCTTAGTTTCATTCTTGGGAATTTGACCAAATTTTGTGTTGTTTTTGTACTATCTTTCAAACAAATGGTGATTTCCTCGATTTTCCTATTAGCAATGTAAACTTATTTTTTGTCTTTGATATATCATTTTTATGTGTGGTGTTTAGTTAGTCAATGATTATTGGGAGGTCGTGAGATGCGATCTGGCATGATGTAGGTTTTAGAAAACATTTTCTTTATCATGCCAATGTTTTGATCTTTATTGAGATCATCTTCAAGGCCTGGGATTTATAAACATTGTTTAAATTTTACAAATACACAACCTTCTCACCTCCTACATGTATTTGTAAAATTTAAACAGTGTCTATAAATCCCAGGCCCTGAAGATGATCTCAATAAAGATCAAAACGTTGGCACGATAAAAAAAAGTTTTTCTAAAACCTACGTCACACCAGACCGTATCTCATGAACTCCGAATAATTATAATTTTAATGTCTCATAGAATCACACACTGTTTGTAAGTGTCCTAGGAAAGCTTAATAATTACATTACAGGGAAAATAACATAATTTATTAAAACCACAACCAGAATTTGTACCATTAATGCTAAGGAAAATATAATCTAAGGTCTTGGTCAAGAATAAAAAGGTAGAGTTGATGTCCGAGTAGATTGAAGTCGCGAAAGCTCAATTGGTTAGAGCAGCAGCTTGTAGCCAAAGGTCATGAGTTCGAATCCCGCATATGACACTAGCTTTTTCTTTCTACCAAGACCTTATATTAAAAGTATAATTAATGTTAAATTTCCTTTAAATAAAATATATTGATGGCGACAAAATGTACTGAATTTGTAGTAAAATAATTTGTTATGTTAAAATATGTTAATTTTGGAAGAAAATTAGTAAAAGAGAAAAAAAAATGTTCCTTGGGTTTTTACATCATTACACTAATTTTTTCCCTTAATGCTGGTATTATCATTTTCCTCTTTATGCAGATATATATAATTTTTAATTTCTTTTAATATAAGAATTTTAAATTTTAAACATTTTATTTAATTACATGCATAGTTATGATAAAATACAAACGTTACAATGTTTTTGAAAAAGATCCACATTAAACACATGCAGTACAGAAAGTCATTAATATTGCTATACAAATTAGTTGTTTCTGAATTCTGAAAAAATTGTAATTATATCTTTCGGTCACTTCCTCTATAAATTCAGAATTGCCTAATTGAATGGGTGGTTTTTTTATTTTAAAATTATTGATAATAGTTGAACAATTTAAACACACTGTTGTTTTGCAGTGAAAATTGGAGGTTTTAAAATGTAGTTGACAAATAGTGAATTATTAATTTGCCTATTTCTTGTTTTTGTGTTTGGCATATTGTGACTGTTATATTTTATTTCCAGGAGGCCTCATTAAGAGCTTTAAAAGTTGCTGGGGGGAGGTTTGAGGCTGCACTGGACCTTCTGGCCAAACAACACCAATCGGAGTCAGTCAACGGTCTCTCAAAGGTTGCCAATCCAGGTATGGCTTATATAAAACGTTCTTGTTATTTTCCCTAATTTTTCATTTATCAACCCCGCATGTAAATTCTCATTTATCTGTAATATTCACAATAAAATAACTATGATTTGTATAGAGGGAAATAGTAAACAATTGTAGTGTTGGATGTGCGAAAGGAAAAAAGAGGGTTTTATGAATACAGTTTTATACATCTAATTACTGAATACATTCACGGTAGTAATCTCAATATATGATTTATATAAAACAAAAGTACAAGCTAATTATGAGAACATATGTATGGAGAGTCAGTACGTATGGAACGATCACACGTCGTTATCTATCATAGTCTGGTGGTCCATTCATTTTTCACCAGCCTTAGCTTTTTATGCCCCTTCCAACATGTAAATATAATAGACACCTTTTATGTCACCAAATAATTGTTTTGTTTTTTCTGCCAATTAGGAATGTGCATGTTGAGTACGAAGCTTATGCGTAAACCAAGCCTCGAGAGGGAGCTTAGTTTGCAGAGGGGAAGCCCTGCTTTGGACTCTGGAGCAGGTAGTTCCAGGTCGGACAGCCCGAGGCAGATAATGCCCGATCTGATGATCCCACCACAGCACCAACTCAGAGGTCAACAGTATTCTCCTGGCTTTTCTGAGCCACCTCCACCCCCACCTCCTAGATCTGGAGGCACTCCACCCCCTCCACCACCGCCGCATGCATATGCATGCACCAACGTCCAGCAACTTCTGAAGCGTATGTCTCCTGCACCGGTTGTCCCATCCCAGCAGAGTGGCCAGGGAGGAAGTGCTGTCGGTGGTGGTGGTGGGACAGGCATAAGGGGCACCAGTCCTGTTGCCAGGCAGCCTATGGTTGTACAGAACAGTCCACAGGTGCAACAGCAGTTGAGTCAACAGATGCAATCCTTGTACCAATCATCAGGTTGCACAGGTAGAAACTTAAACATTTCTTTCTAGTTATTAGTGTATGTGGAAAAATTATAATAAATTTTATTTCAGGAGAACCACCTCCGCCATATCCACTGCCACCCCCTCCGCCATCGTATACAGCATCGATTCAAAGTAGGCAGTCCCCGACTCAACAAGATTACAGGAAAAGCCCTTCGTCTGGAATCTATTCTGGTTCTCCTAGCCCTGTAACAGTTTCTGGTGGTAGTAACACTCCCACATCGCATGTAGCTCGACCCACCCCTCTACAAGCCTGGGGAGCTCGCCAGGCAAAAACCCAACCACCGGTGATAATGCAATCAGTCAAAAGTACACAGGTGCAAAAACCCGTCCTCCAAACGGCAATCGCCCCTCCACCCCCAAGCTATGCATCGTCAATGCAGCAAATGAAGCAGCAACAGCAGCAGCAGAAACCATCGACCCCACCAATTCCGACTACAGAACCCCCTAGTTATGCCAGCACGATGCAGGCTTTGGCGGCTCAACGAGCGGCACAGGGGCCCCCTGGAGAAGAATGTGCAACCACTGTAGAAAGTGGTACAGCACCAAAATCAACTCCAGCGATTCACAACCCTCTTCAGGTAATAATAAAACATAAAATTTCTCTTCTAACATTGTTAACTATCTATTCAACCTATATAATTGAACAAAATATTCCTATGCGCAAAGCTCTTGAAATTTCTAGTTATCTACATTACTTTCTTCTTTGTTCATTAATTTTCAAAAAAATATTTGAATGTCTAGAAAAAAATGAAATTGACTTGAAAATATAACTTTCAAACATCATAATTTTTTTAATATAATTTGTATGTTTTTTATAGTATAATTTAGTAATGTGATAATTAAATAATATTGTAATAGAGCAGAATTAATGTGATAATTAAATAAAGGAAGATACAAGTTTATTTAATTTTTTTCTGTTCTACACTGTTTTATTTTGGTATTATAATTTATTTAATATTTTTTCAGAGGAAATATTCTCCAGCTGGGGGTGAACCAATGCACAGTGAAAGTCCAGGAGGTCAACGGACTCCTCCATTACCACCAACAGCATCTTCTTCTGTTAAGACAGGAGGAGGTGGTGGCGGAAATGGTGGAAACATAGTAAATGGAAGTGGCGGTACAAGGCCGTTCAAAATCGACCACCAATCGCCCATACCTGAAAGGAAGCACATAAGCAAAGAGAAGGAAGAGGAAAGGAGAGATTGCAAAGTGAGGAACTACTCACCTCAGGCCTTCAAATTTTTCATGGAGCAACATGTAGAGAACGTAATTAAAAGTCACAAACAGCGAGTCTTCAGGAGGCTACAGCTTGAAACGGAAATGGCAAAAATTGGATTGAGCGAAGAAGCACAGGCGCAGATGCGAAAGATGCTCTCGCAAAAAGAGTCAAACTACATTAGGCTGAAGAGGGCGAAAATGGATCGGACTATGTTTGTCAAAATAAAACCAATCGGGGTTGGAGCGTTCGGAGAAGTGACTCTAGTCAGGAAAATCGACACGAATCACTTGTATGCCATGAAAACTTTGAGGAAAGCCGATGTCCTTAAAAGGAACCAGGTTGCTCACGTAAAAGCAGAAAGGGATATTTTGGCAGAAGCGGACAATGAATGGGTCGTTAAACTTTATTACTCTTTCCAGGTAAAAGCAGTCAGAAAATTAATTTTTTTTTTTCATGTTTTATATAACTGGTGTTATTTTTTAGGACAAAGATAATTTGTACTTTGTTATGGACTACATCCCAGGCGGTGATCTTATGTCACTACTAATTAAACTGGGTATCTTTGAAGAGCCCTTAGCTAGGTATATATAAAATATATGATGTATATTTTTTGTGTGATTTTAATATTAAAAAAATTTCGTAGGTTTTATATAGCTGAGCTAACTTGTGCAGTTGAAAGTGTACATAAAATGGGCTTTATTCATCGTGATATTAAACCTGATAATATATTAATTGATCGAGATGGTCATATAAAACTAACAGACTTTGGGCTGTGTACAGGATTTAGATGGACTCACAATTCTAAATATTATCAAAGGAATGGTAAGTACAGAAAGAAAAAAAAATACATATATATATTATAAATGTTTATAATCAAATAGGCGAGCATGGAAGGCAAGATTCGATGGAGCCGAATGAAGAATGGGTCGGGGCGGAGTGCAGGTGTCATCAGTTGAAACCTCTCGAAAGGAGAAGGCGGAGAGAGCACCAAAGGTGTCAGGCGCACTCACTTGTTGGCACTCCAAATTACATCGCACCCGAAGTCTTACAAAAAACAGGCTATACACAGCTGTGTGACTGGTGGAGTGTAGGAGTCATTCTTTATGAAATGCTTGTTGGCTCGCCCCCATTCTTAGCTCCGACTCCTGCTGAAACGCAATACAAGGTTGTTATATTTGATATTGTTATCACTTTAAAATTGTTCTATTTAAAAATATTTTCATCTTGGAAAACTAATATTTGTTTTTGTAGGTCATCCATTGGGAAACAACACTCCAGTTCCCGAAAGTCCCGAGCGTATCACCGGAGGGGAAAGATTTAATAGTTAAATTGTGTACTTCAGCCGATAGGAGGATCGGTAAGAAAGCCAGCGAGGTGAAGGCCCATCCGTTCTTCGCATCTGTTGACTTCGGCCACGGAATAAGAAGGACGTCGCCTCCGCACATCCCGAGAATAAGGCATTCAACAGACACGTCGAATTTCGATCCTGTCGATCCTGACAAACTCATGAAAAATTCCTACTCGACTGATCAGTCCGGATTGACTGATGAGGAGCTCAGCGACAATGGTAAACCTTTCCACGGCTTCTTTGAATTCACGTTCAGGAGATTCTTTGATGATGGAGGTGCCACCCCGTACCCTAATAAAATAAGCTTGGACGAAACGGAAAACCAAGGAGCTGTGTATGTATGACAATGACTTTTCCCCTTCCCTGCCTTCCATGCCTATAACTGTTATTTATTTACATCGACCCATTATTAAAGTCGTCTCATCTATGAGACAATAATTTGCGCAATTGTAATTTTTGTATATATAATTTTTTAATTTTTTCGTTTTTTTTTCCTGATATCACAGTTCTTGAACGATAAGATCTTGAATATCTGTTTTATTTTGTATTTTAAAATGTTTTCCTTTAAGTTATACCCTATATCTTTTGAAAAAATTATGGATTTCTTTGAGGCTGAAGAATACTTGTGGATCTTCATGTAGGTATAATTTCCTTCATACTCGGTTAAACAATTTAATAGGGAATTTTTTTTTTTAAATATTACTTAAGAATCATAACAAAGTTCGCTATTAGATGGCACTTTCAAGGTTTTATCGTTAAATTGTAAAATTGTGTTTACCGCAAAATTTATTTATTTATAAAATAAATATATTAAAAATATATATGTAAAAAAATATTTGCCTCAGAAAGGGTGTCAGATCCGTGGCGTATGAGTTGATAGGCTTTTCTTTTTAAGTTATTTTGTATAAGAGCGAGATCCATAGAACGAAGACTAAGTGTGCCTTTAAGAGTGGAAATAAAGTGCCTTATTAACAAACAAAAAATTAAAAATGTTTTCTTACTTGCTATTATATATAATAAGCGTTCTGTTGAATCTCTTCACCCATTTATCGTCATTACTATTTATCAGGAGGGAAATTCTCAAATTCCAGTTTTTTCTACATCACTCCTCCCAATTTTTTTTCTGTCGGTTTAAAAATAATATTAGTTTAAAATTAGTCAGTGTGTGTGTAGGATTTTTTTTCTTAATCTTTATTCGTCTTTACTTTCCTCTTTCTTGTAATATTCTATTTTGTTTGTTTAGATCGTATATTTAAAAATGTTAGTTTAATATATCGTTTTTGAAAGTGATACAAAGTATACTCTGATGCCTTAAATTATGGTGATTATCGCCTAATCAGTTGGCGAATTAATTGTTACACAAATTATTTTCATCTACATCTTCAGCTATCGATTTAATTATTTTCCCTTATTGTGGTCTGGCAGCTTGAATTTTTGTAGTACACTTCAGACCAGTTTATAACATACTATTTAAAATTATTAAAAATCAGGAATTTAATTTTTTTGTACTTTTATCACTGCCATAATATTGAAAAATTGTATTTAAATTTAAATTTACAAATTGTTTTCTTATTTGAAGCTAGTCCAAAAGGTTTCATCTTATAAAACAAAACAAAAAAATGGCAGTTTTTATAATGTGGAAAACTAGTCCTAAGAATTAAGAAGTTTTTAATAGGATTCCTTTCTTTCAATTATTTAAAAGATATGTCCCATGACATTTTTAATTAAAATTATGAATTTCTGATTGTTCTGGAATACAATGCCAATTGAAAATCCCATTTGTATCTTATATTCAAAGTTTAACTACCACATTTAATCCATAATATTAATATAAATTTTTCATATCACAGTAGAATAATTTTTAATGTTTAAGTAGATTAAATATATTTTAAAGCCTTTTTTTTATATATATATAATTTTTTCTCAGTAGGAATCAGTACCTCGTAACAAATTGAATATTTTAATTAGAAAAATCCCATTTTCTGGATGTTCTGTTACTCTGAAATAAAATTTTCTAAACAACTTAATTACTGAAATTGTATGCAAATATGGCATAAAATTCGAATTGTGAAAAACTTGTGTGACCTAATAAACATGAATGTAGTATAATTTACCCAAGTGATAATTTTTAAATAGATTTATCGAGTTTTTGAACTTTTATTAGCAATAAAAAAAAAGTTAATAATACATGAAAAAGTTTAATAAGTGGTAATTTTAATTTTATCAGCTTAGGTTTAATTGTTGTAAGTTAATTAAGTTTAATTAACATTTAAACTTAACGTTAATCAACATTTAAATTGAAGCTTAATTATAATTTATAAAAATAAAAAACAAAAAAATACCCCCTTAAATATTTTTTCTTAATATTTAATTAGAAATATTGTTATTTTAGCTTTATTAGTAAATGTAACAAGAGGGAGAGTGGGAGAGAAAGATGATAGAGTGTGAGTTTGATAGAGTGTGAGTTTGCATGTGTGTGATATTTTAGGGTTTTAAACAAATTATTTTCCTGATTTTTAATAAATTACAAAGGTATTAACATTATTGTCATATTCATAAATCTTTATGAACAGGTTTATTGACAACAGACTTAAGAACATAAACAAATTTTGCACGTATATGCAAATTGTTAAACAGATCAGTCTGTACGCCAACAATAAGTATAAAATACTTTGTGTAAATATTGGATTTAAAAAAAAAAAAAAAGAGTGCCTTTTTTTCTATAAAATACTAATAGATGTTAGTGTAAGTTCAACCGTACGCCACAAATGTGTAGTCCATTTATTAATTTAACCGATCCAAAGGCTGTGGTAATTTATGAAAACCGATCTACATGAGGTTGAAAGGCTGTTTTCTCTTTTTCGTTTTGTTTTGCCTTATTTTCCATTTTTCAGAATTATAGCATTTTCCCTTTTCTCTTGTCTCTTTATTTTGTGAATCTTAGGCATACTCAAGTTACCATAAGGAGCTACTTGTGCCTTTAAATTTAACTATGCATATTATTTAGAAAATTTTGTTTTCAAACAGCCATTTTCTTTGTTAAAAATATTTCCATTCTAATTATGGGTTAATTTATGTAAGTTTAAAAAAGCTCTCTTTTTATTCTGCAACTTTTTTTTTATTGTTTTCCCAATTATCTCCTCTTTTATTTAAAACAAATTTTTTTTTGTATTTATACTATAGATCTGGCTTGTGTTATATTATTGTGTGCCTTGTAAATATTGTAACAAATTTTCTTTTCTTTAATTTTTTATTATAATTAATAAGTGTAATTAAAAATGGAAAAATAAATAAAAAGATACCCCTACGGCTCAACAGTCGACTAATATTTTCTAGCTTTTATTAATATATTTGAGAAAGTAGCTAAGAGGAGGTATAGAATTATTGTATATACCGTTATATTTAAAAAAAGAGAAAATTTGTTGGACAGGGAATGTAAATTAAAAAGTACTGTTGAAATAATATATATATGAGAAAATAATTTTGGTACGATCAAATATTTTTCCAAAGCTCAAAATAAGAAATCCCGGCATATGTATTGTAAGACTAACAATCAATTTTATATGATTATAGTTATCATTTCTGCAAACTTTGGATAAATAATTTATTTTATTCATTAAAATAGCAGATTGTGTGATAAAACCAAATGAACGTAAAAAATGAGTGAATTTTTATTCAGTTTTAGCAGTTTATAATTTTTTTTTTTAACTGCCAAAATTCGATGCAAATTTATGTATTTGAGGTTTTGAAAACTGTACCTATCCTATTATGTAACAAATTATTAAAAACTGTTTAAAGATTTCTTTGTTTTTGTTGATTTACTCCTGTTCTACGTAACTGAGAATTTTTTAAAAACCAATGACAATTAATTTGAATGTTATATTTCCAAATTTTCTGTTAGTTATATATAATTAGTAGGGGGTTTAGGAGCTGACAAATGGCTGAGTTCATCATTGGCCCACCATGTCAGGACCAAATTCAGGGTCGCTGAGACCCCCGATCTTCCATTGATTTGTACCGAGTTAATTTTAATTGTACCGCTGGTCCCCTTAGGAAAAAAATCCCGATGAGACAGGGGAAATTGAACCCTCGACTGCATGATCTATTAGCCGAGAATGTGACACCTTAACCACTCGGCTACTGCAGGCCCTTAGATAAATAAAAAATTAAACTGAGTTAAAAAATCTTACCAAAAATGCTGCTATGGAAACAACGAAGAAAATAGTATTAATTATAAAGTATATCCTCCTCTTGGGTTGTTCACTGCTTGCATTAGACATGGCATCCATTTTATGAGGTTTTGAATGTAGTGCTGTGGAATATTTTGATAGCCCTTCAACAGCGTCATTCTTAATTACTGCAATTCTCTGGTATTGCTGCGCGACAACTCATCCCAAAGGTGCTTGATAAGAGTTTAATTTGGGACTATATGCTGGCCTCTCCAAACATTGAATTGAACCCTGTTTCAAGTAGTCACCAACGATGCTAGCATGTGGGGGCTTGAATTGTCTTGCATAAAAATAAAACAGTTGCCAATTAGAGAAATTTAGGCACAACTTCTTCTGATAACACAACTTCAATGTGTCACCCCCCGAAATTGAAGCACATTGGGGTTAACAATGGCTCATCTATGGGTGGGAGTGACCCCCCTGGCCCGGCGGCTGGACTCCTTATCATGGAAGAGATGGAGGAGACCCTGAGGACCTTCGCCCTTCAGGTGTTCCTAAGACGCTGACTAGAGAAGGGCTCCCAAAGATAAGGTCAAATTGACAATTTCATATGTGTATGATCTTTTAATCTTTTTTTTAGTTAGAACAATATTTAACTTTTATTTAATGTTTTTGGTTTCTAATTGAAATTTGCTGAAGGGTAATTCTGGGCTAGATTATAGTTTTTAAAGGTGTTGGGTTCAGAGTGTTAAATGTATATATTCTTTTGAATAAATTTTTTGGGGACTGTACTTATCTTTCATTTTATATAATTTTATTTCCCTAGGATATGTAATTGTATCACACAGCATGTAGGGAACCCTTAATGAAGATCCATAGAAATCCTGACCAAAAAAACCATAACACCACCACCCCCATAGCTTCTCCAGAGTGAATATTTTACAGGGATATATCACTCTCCTGTTCTTCTCCAAACCCTCTCTCTGCCATCAGAAGACTTCAAACAAAATCTTGACTCATTCACAGACATGATATTAGTTCAATCTAGCAGCCGGATTAATGTGATTTCTTGTGAAACTTAACCAAGCTGTACTGTGCCTTGTCAGAAGTTATAGACCAGTGGCGCAGGTCTTCTCACATGTAATACACCTTCTGAAAGGTCCTCGCCTTACTGAACTGGGATTAACATTTATAAATTTTGAATCATCGTTTGATCTCAACAGCGGTAGAATTTCGATTACGGAGTACATTCAAAACAATAAAACATTCATCTCTTTGAGATGTGACATGATCCATGCCGTCTTCACCTCGGTAGCGATGACCTTTCAGACAGTTGTTTTGGGAGTGTTAAGCACCCTGGCCACATACGCTAGACTTTTTCCACATTCCAACAATGCCATGATTCTAGCCGAATACGTATCACTTAAAACCCTCACTCAAACAAATTTGAAATTTAAAAATGGTACAACTTAAAAAAAATTCAAACCAATGGAATGTTAGAAAGATGCTTACAGAAAAACCAACAAAGAAGATTGATTATTCAAAAATTTATTTACAAAATCTGATTGTAAACACAAATGGGTTTTTTTTATCTGCGATTTATTTACCTCTAATCCTATAAAACGGTCCAAAAATTGTTGTACCATAATCAATGAAGGTTTATCTAAGTGATTTTAAAAATATTAACGGTGGCCAATTTCTTAGCCTTTCAGTGTAGATTTTTATTATATAGAGTGGACAGTGGGGTTTTAATTATAAAGTCGGTTTGTACGAGTTTGATATGGTTTTGCCATTGCACGGCTCCATATTTAGTTCGAAATATGTGACAAATGTGATTTTCACGGTTACATTTTTCACAGATAAACTTTGACATATTAAAATAATGATGGCAAGAAAACATTTAATTACTGTTTATTGCATGGTTATTGTTAATCTCTTGTATGCTAAAGGTATCTTTTGAATTATTATGAGCTTTGTGTGCACCGAATTAAGCGATGAACCAAAAAAGAGTTGAATTTTAGAATATATCCCGCCCAAAGAGGGAAAATGCGATTGTTTCGGTGAGGAAATGGATTATATACTCTACAACTATTTTAATGTATGTAAGTAAATTGATAGAAAACTATTATATATTTTCAAAAAAATGTAATTGGAAATAGGGGACAAGGTGGAACAATAAACTTTTCTGTCAACATTTGGGCTTGATGTTGGTTAATGTGCCGAACCGTATTATAGCTTCCATGCTTCAAATGTATTTGGCACAAAATGGTATAAACAAAATGAAATTTTCATTTACAAGTATAAAATTTTTAAAGAAAGAATATGCTAAATGTTTCAGGCCGTCCTGGTTATTTATACTGGTTAAACTCTGTATCACAACAAGTCTTCAATAAAAAACTCGCCAATCATGAATGTTTGGCAGTTGAAATGGGTTTATCATTTCGAGCAATAAACTGCACTGCTATTGCTAATTTTCTTTGCAAATTTTGAATGCAAAATGTCATGTGATCTCAGAAATATATTTGTTTTTATAGTTATTTTAAACTATTTATGGTTTATTGTAGCAACCCTTTAAAGAGTGAATGACGAATGAATTTTCTTCAGATGGTTGATGAAACTGTCAGCCAGAGTTATGGCAGCAACAAAAATAATCAAATAAAAAGTCTTTTTTTCCCACTTTCAAAAATTGAATTATCAATGAGGTACTTCCTGTATCTCCTGGCAGCCCTGTAGAATTTGGACAAGCATAACCAGCCGAGCCCATCTCGCAACATTCGTATCACTTCGTCGTATAAAGGGGTTTTCCATGGTTTACTTTCACCAAGATTGGCAAACTTACTGCTTGATTCTACATTATTTTGTCCATTTGTTTAACTTATTACAAATCTTTTGAAATATTTTATATATAATAAACAATCAGAACAAATCTTATATTCTAATAAGCAATGATAGAATTAAAAGTTCCATTTATTATTTACAAATAATAAAAATATTAAATATTATTTTTAATAGGTCTCAGCAGACGGCTCCTAGCAAGGCTTATTATACTTTGTACCAATTTTTGTATTTTTCTATTTTAGTAAAGTATTGTTATTATTATTGTGTGGTATTTAGTGACCGTTAAGTAATGATTAATTGGAGATTGTGAGATGTGGTCTGGTGTGATGTAGGTTTAGAAAAACATTTTCTTTATAGTGGTCGTTTCGATCATTATTAAGATCATCTTCAGGGTCTGGGATTTATAAACATCGTTTAATATAATTATAATAATAACATAAATAGTATAATTTAAATATGTTCTTAAACTTACATCGCATCATACCACATCTCACGATTTCCAAATAATCACTAAGGAATTAGGTAGGAAAAGTACAGTAAGCCAGAAGACTTCAGTACTTGGGGGACAAAACGCCCATTCCCAGCATCCATCATCATCAGCTTACATTTTATTTATATCAGTTTACAAAATAAGAAACCGCAATTTATATTATCTAATTTTTGATTTTTGTATATTGTATTATTATAAGTGGGAAGTTTATGGGCCGACAAACAGCTGAAGTCATCGCCGGCCCTCTGCGTGTTTTCCATCTTTTTCTCTTTTCTTTCGCGCATATTTTGTTTTAAACTGCAGCCATTTGAGCGTCTCGATCTGGTTACTGACTCTCTGATTTCAGATATATACTACGTTGATATTCTAGAATGCTAGTCTCTCGTTTGTACCTCAGGTTGTCAAATACAGAATAAAAACAAAACATACAATACATATATATACATCACCACAAACATAGATGTCTGGTCACATTCATTCCCCCAGAGTACTCGATATTCCTCGGGGCGGGGTTATAAGCAACCCCTTCTTTTCACGCTAATAAATTACTTTTACTCTCCAGACGTCATACACTCTCCCCAGATTACTTGATATTCCTCGGGGCGTGCTTATAAGCAACCCCTTCCTTTCACGCTAATAAATTACATTCATTCTGATAAATTAACACAAACACAACACTCGATAGAAACAGTGGTTGTACATTGTATAATTTTAAATATTTATTTTTGAGTGTTTGTTTTTAAATATATCTAATGACAAGTAACTTAAATCTATGGCTGGTGTCAAATTTTTTTAAATATAATCTATATGAATATGAATATTTTTATTCGTGAACAAGATTTACATTTTCTTTGACATTTTACAGTTTTAAGTATTTCCATTTAATTATTTTACGTTGTTTCAACCTCTGACTTTCAAAATTCATTCAGAGTGTAAAATGGTTGGTGTAAAAAACCTTGCAGGTAATGTTATATGTACAGGTAGTTTATTAAATAGTTTGACTCTAACAAATTCAAAACTAGGACAAATTTTAGTCTTTTTACAGAATTGATAACAACAATCGCTCCAGTATTATGTTTATGTACATTATTTACATATATATAATTTACAATGTTTTTCTTAATATACAATAATCTGTTATAAATGTACACGTTTATCTCAGTTATAATTTTATATTTACAAGAGACTAATCTACAGGACTTTCCTTTTCAAGTAGAATTCTTAAACATCTTTTTTGAATAATGAGGACATCTTTTACATGAAATATATTTTTATTTGCAGTTTCCTTGCAGGACTGGCTCTTAAATGCAAAAAACTTTTATGTTGTTGGTTGAAACATGGCTTTTCGTTTTAAAACAGGCAGAAATTCAGCGAGACGCTCGGTGAACTGCAAAAATTAAAACTTGGAAATAAGGTTTCGAATTGCACAAACATACAAACAGGAATCAACATGGATAGAATAAACAATGAGGGAACGAAGTGCGAATAAAAGAATCGGCGTGATGTGATTTTTTTTCGAAACTTGTTTAATCGAATCAACACAGGTTTATATTCAAATAAAAGTGTGAAACTCCAGAGGAAAATTTTAAAATCAACATCCTTATATTTTTGTGCGGTTTTCTCTTTGTCATGTCCGCTTTGTTCTGTTCTTTCAAGATTGTTTTTGTACAAGCAAGGCTACATGGAGATTCGTGCCAGATTCTTTTCCCTAGAATAGTTTTTTAATAAATAACACGAATAAACGTTCCAAAAAATCGCTTCCTTGTCTTCAAATACATACATTTTAAATAAATAAACTCAAGAACGTTTTCAGATATGAAGCACGGTGGTGAATTTCCTAACGAGAAATTGCAAAATATGAATTGTCCATAATGGGATACCAAAATGGGGCGATTATAATTTTAAAAGTACGTGTAAGAATGCAGGATTGCAGGCTCGGGCACGTATTGATAACAGCAATCTTCTTGGCATTCCACGGGTTAAGGAACGTTTTAAACTAACTAGGAAAAATAATTCGGTGCCTGCAGAAAATGAGCCGTTTTAAATTGGACCTGAAAATGAGATTTCGCATTGGGCAATTTCCAAGCCTTCATACCTTACTAATCAATAATAAGATCTATACAAATAAAAAAAAAATCACAGGGCTGTATTTAACATTCACATTTGACACAGATAAAATTATTTATTTAAAAACTAAATATATGCCAATCTAATACGCCTGGGGATTAAACATTTTAATTGGTTAGTTCTTTAGTTAAAACCACTACCTTTCTGTTCTCGATTTTTCATCCCTATGGTAGACTGATTCATGTATCCTTTTATGTTTGGGATCACTAGGCCAACCAAGGATGGGTGTCTTGTGCAATATGGCGTCTCCGAATTCTCGCTTTTGAAGTGGCCACGTTGAACCGATATTCAGTACGTGTCTAATAGTTTATGTTTGTCTCATGAGGTCTGATGATGTATTGGCATTCCAATTTTCTTTAGCAAAGTATTCACATGAGCATATTGCGCTAACGGACAATCTGAACTGGAGATAGGCACGGTGTTTCACGTGACGTTCAATGCTCGGGTGACAATACATCCCATGGGTAAGTAGTCGGCCTGCTATCTGTCACTAAAAAGAGAGAAATTTCATGATAAATATTGCAGCCTAAGCCCATTTGAACATACAAGTCTGCAGTATTAAATAAAAGAGATTTTCGAATGTTTTCAACCAACAGTTATTAAAAGTAATAATTTTGATTCCACCGTTCAGCGTCAAAGAACCTTTTGAAAAAAGTTCATTGATGTGCACTTTGCTATTTGAAATAGTTAAGTTCTTATCCGTATCCTGTTATCTTATAGTTAGGTCAAAACATGGTTAATGAGAAAATAGACAAAAAAGAAAAGTTTACGCGTCTCGGGATTTTTACCACTGGTACTAATCATTTCCGTTAAACGCGCTTGCATTCCTTGGAAATGATTTGTGATAAAATCTCAAGAATACTTCCCCATTCATCAAGAATAGCCGTTTCCAACTCTTCAAGCGTGTTAAGACCTGGACTTCGCCGTCGTTCTCGTTGCTTAAGTTGGTCCCAAATGTGTTCGATTGGGTTCAAATCTGGACTTCGAGCTGCCCATACCAATCACTCAATTTCAACATCATTCGGGTATGGTATGGTGAAAAAGGATACTAGGAAGCGGGTTTTGCACTCCCCAGGCACTGTAGCCTTCTGGCTTATTGTATCTTCCTAGTTCCCTAGTTCAGTCAATAGACTCCATCCTTCTTCTTAGAAGTATCAGGTCATTGACTGTTGCTGCTACAATTTGATTTCCTAACTTTTTTCCGTACGTTAGGTTAAACCTCCATTGAGCTCTTGCTTCGAATTCGAAGATGATATGGGTGGATGTTTCCTCCTCCTCATTACATAATCTGCAGATGGGATTTTAGTTGTATATACCCATGTAGGGTAGATATTTTCTCAAATGCCAGTGACCGGATGGATAGTAGTCCTACCACTCCTCTGAATTTTTCTCCTTCCAATTGCAGCAGTGATTTTGCCAATCTTGGTGAGGGTTGTTTCCTCATAAGTTTACTATGAGAGAGTTTATCCACTTCTCCTTTTGTTTTATTTGAATCCATTCTGCGATGGAGGATTCTATATTTCTTTTTGCTATCCCAAGAATAGGTTCGGAAGAATACCTATCTACGGTCTTGCAGATCCTCCTCTGGCCAGTCTGTCTGCTTTCTCGTTACCCAAAATTCCCTTGTGCCCTGGCACCCAAGATAACATCAGGTTGTTGTGTTTCCCCAGGTTTTGGAGATTTTGGATGCATTCATTGACTAATTTTGATGTGATTCTTTTACATGCTAATGCTTTAATGGTTGCTTGGTTATTGGATCTTATGAGGATTTTTTGTCAGTGTAACCACTTTTAAGATTTTCCAGGGCACAAGCATTGATGGCATGTATTTCCGCTTGAATGACCGAAATGTACTTCCTTAATGAGTTTGATTGCTCATGTTTTGTGCTTGTACAGAAAATGCCCAATCCGGTTCCTTCGTTTGTTTTGAAACCTTATGTATAACATATCAATGTATCTGATGCTCTCCTGTGTTCTTCCTCTCCTTTATAGTCCGTTGAGACTTTACAGAAAGTTGTGAAGATTGTTCCCGGGATCATATAATCAGTCCCCATT